TCTTTCCCTTCTTCCTATTCTCAGTTTTCAGTGGTCACATACTCCTTTTTCCAAATCTTTCTGAACAATTTTAGCACATTTATGGATCAAATTATTTCCCATAAATTATGTCTGGGTAAATTTTACTCGGCTATTTTGTTTGAAACAGAATATCTTCCACAAGACTGAAAGCATCTTAATGAAGTTGGATTGACCTACAAATTGAACATAATAATTTGTTACAACTATAGAACAGAAATCTTCAATATAATATTTCACAAAAATAAGCCTTCAATTGAATTTTTAAATAGTTCTGTAACCTTACTTAACCTTACAGGTGTCCAAATACCATTAGTAGGGTTACCATTTACACATCTTTTCATTTCTTCCCTCGACTGGTTTATTTTCTTCTTTGCTGTTTTCATCCTTTACCCAGTGATTTCTGCTAATATATGTTTTCTTCTTTGTGATAGCGCTGATTGTATTTTCAGTTTATCGAGGTCATGGTTGTTAGGAATTGGCAATGTGCTATGTTGATTGTGGTAACGAAAAGGCAACTTGGCCTTTCTAGAGCAGCACTGTCCAGTTCAGCTCTCTGTGAAGAGAGGGCAGTGTTCTGTATCTGCACTGTTCAGTAATGGTAGCTACTAGTTACACATAACTGCTAAGCACGTGCAGTGTGGTCATGAATCTGAGGAGCTGAATTCTATTTAATTTAAATTTATTTACGTTGAAATAGCCATACATGGTTAGTGACTATTGTAATGGAGTACACAGTTCTAGATGAGCAGACTTAATCAGCATCGTTTGTTCTCATAGGCCGCACAGTGTTTGTGTACATGAGCTCTTGCAAAACAAGTAACAGCTTTTTCACATTGAAAGGAATGTTCATGTTTGGAAAGAATGTTTCTGCACTAACTCGTTTTTCTTTTTTTGTTTTTAGGTTTTTGCTAAGTTGTTTTTCATATTTAGCATCAAATTACACTTTCTTGGGGCCAGCAGGTGTCATGGTGGTTAAGATGCTGGACTCCCATGTGGCTGACCGTGGTTCAAGTCCTGGATCGGCAGCTTGAAAATCACACCAAGCGTGTGTGTATGTGTGCCCAAAATTCCGAGAGGAGAATGGAGGAGGAGAGATTGCAGCATAGCTATCCCCTGGGGGTGATTTCTCACTTCCTTTCTCTGTCTCTGGCAAGCACACGTGCCCTATGGCAAAAACCTAAAAAATAAAAAAAGCCATTTTCTCAAAATCAGAATGCTTCCCACGATATTTGGATCACTAGGAAGTAACAAGTGTTTTCTACTCAGATAGATGAAAATCATTTTACATTTCGTTTTAGAAAACAAAACCAGTCCTCTAGTCTGACTATAAGATCTTATGTTCTGTGAAACTTTTGTTGAGATTTCCTCATTGTTGTATGCTTGGTTTTAGTTTATACTTTATTGCTTTTAGATTTACACTGTGAGTTTCTGTCATTTTGCTGATATTTGCTTCCTAATGTTGAAGGGGCCAGAGCATAGAACTGAATAAAGCCGAACAGTAGTAAAGTGACTTAATGCTCTCTTGAACATTTAACAAACTAATTGTGCTACCTTACAGCCAGTGGTTTCATTTAATACTGACAAAATTTTGGCACATCAGCACCAAAAATCAAGTATCATCCTTGCTGCACTTACTGTCCTCATGAGAGTAAGAAACTAACGCCCCATTCACATGAATAGAAATGAACAAATACTCTACTTTTAAGACGAACTTAATTGGGGGGAATAGAATATGTGGTAAATATGTATGAAAATTTTGGAAAGACTTAAAGTAAGATCTTAAAATTGGAATTGAGGTTGAAGAAAATTTGGTGAGGCCAGATAATAGATGAGAAATACTATTAATACTTTCAAAGAAACACTTATGACATATACTTTCTGTGTGTTCCCTGATAGAATAGATGGGCAGTGTACATATAGAAGTCATGTGGAGTAGTCAGACCATTTTCCTTTACCCATGAGGGTGGGAAGGCAAAGGCAAGGCAGCTCAGCTGCAGTTTACAACCCTGACCTAGGCTCCTGTTTGACCTCAGTCTGTCTTGATGCAGCAGCACAGGCCAGCGAGGAGGCGGTGTCATTTCGCCGTGAACGCAGCACATTTAGGCGCCAGGCAGTACGGCGCCGGCACAATGCAGGGAGTAACCCTACCCCTCCTACATTGCTCATCGGATCACCCCTAAGGTATGGTATTTTAAAATTCCACCAAGTTTAGTATGCATGTAACAGACCTTTTAACCTGTTCTGTCAGTCTCACAGAAGCATTGGAAGAGCTTTGTTTTTCGTTTTCTTTCTGTTTCTCTCCTATACATTGAAGCTCTTTTATTGTAGATTTTCTCCGCATGTCACCATGAGCCTGTACTGCATCATGCATGCTTTATGTTGCACTGTTTAAACGAAATGATCAGATTGGTTTAGCCAAGTTTAATTTGCAAAATCACTTTAAGGAAGTTAAAAAAATAAAGTAATAGTCATCCTTTCTTGTTTTCTTTTTTCTACTTCAATTTAATATTAATGTAACATCTTTTCTTAACATCTTGACAGTGTTTAATATGAACAAATATGGGACCAAGTGGTGAGCCTGTTAAATAACATAACTGACCTCAGCTTGATAAGCCAGTTCGATTATTTTATTTCACTAAATAAGATACATTTTATTTTCTATTGCTAAAATTTGATGTCTTGTTTTATAATCATCAGGGCCCAGTGTAAATGACACAGAACTGAAAAATTCAATTTACGTAAAGTATGGTTAAGTGCTAGACATATAAATCTGTGTTGAATTTCTCAACCTCCTTAATATATTAAACAAAATAATTTCCCTCAATGTTTCTAAATAAGAAAGCCTCTATTTCTAATATTGGGGATAATTTTCCACTAAGATATTGGTGGTTTAGTCTTAATTATATCAAATCTAATAAACCCATGCCTTGAAATGTAAAAATCTCATATTCAAAGACTTGTGATTTACTTTTCTTTAAGAATACAAATATGGACATAAATGCTTTATGTGTGCTTACTTAAACCATGCATCTATTGTATAGATATGTTTTATTAAATTTCTGTACCCAGAAGCACCATTATACAAATTATTTTCCTGTCACATTTTAATTTGAAATTCAAAGGGCAGAACCATTTGATGAAATAACTATTGCTGAGTGCCTTGTAGCTTGGCAGAGAGAAACTCCTTCCTTTATTAAAAACCTTTGTTCTGGACAGTAGCAGAATTCTTATTTCTTTAAAATATTAGATATTCCCCCGAGATTTAAGACTTGATTATTTTTCTAGATTTTACATTACAGTTAGAGAGTTTATTGTGTTTAATAATACATAATTCTGTTAAAAAGTAGCTTGAATGAACTAAACCAAGACTGAAAATATAAAAATGGGAAGGCTACCAATGTAAGAAATTTGTTCTTAAAACCTTTCCTGAGCACCTTTGCTTTCTGTGAGCCATCCTCTTCTGTTTCCTTTCTGCTTCCTTCCCTTCCCCTTTCCTGCCTGAAGTAACCTTTCTGCCCATGGATTCGGGCATCGTCCCAATGCATAGACAGAGCTCAGCATTTCTTTTACTTTTTGTGTTTGCTTTCTAATAGCTCCCTTTTGCCCCTTAAATAGTATTTGCCATAGACAACTTTGCTTTCTTACTCCGTGTTAATACTTCTTAAACTTTATTTTAAACCATCTCTTTTTAGTCTTCAAAAAAACTTTTCATTCTTGGCCACAAATGAGCCTGCTGAATTCTACTCACCAAATAAATATGTAGACAAATTAATTCTTTTTCTCTGCCTGGTGGAATGTTAAAAAGCTATGTTCTAACTCCAGCCAATCACACAGGGTTTTCCTAGAATTTTAAATATATTACCACTTAAATAAAAGCAGGGTATAAAACTTATTTCCAAAGGGCTCACATTAGAATTTTTGAAAAGTAATCTTCCAGTAGTTGGCACATAACTTTTGTTGAGGTTCCAGGGTATTTCCAGTACAAGGGGCATATGTGTCTTTTAAAAATTGCTGACTTCATCATCAGAAGTGATGTTAAAACAAAATAGCTCTAAGGAATTAGGAGAAACACAAAATTTATTAAAATCGTCTTTAAAAATCGTGAAGCTATTCAGATAAAGTGTATTGGTTTTCTCAGTGTGAGTTACAGAATTATAATCTCACCTTTAAATATAAAATGGTACAGCCATTTAAAATTTGGAAAATTTGTTTGTTAAAAACAGGTGGAATTGATGTGGCAATACTTTCATTACAATTTTTATGTAAACAGTTGTAAGTTCTAACTTATTTTAGACTATAGTGAATAGTTTAAGTCATTGCCCATCCAGAAACCAACTTGATAAAATACATATCCCCAAGGATTGGGAACAGATCACCAGCTTCTTCACAAAGAATTTGCATGTGTTTTATAATACTTATTAGTATATACTGTGTCATAATTACTTTAAGATTTTTTAAAATTAAGTTAGCCATGTAGGTAGATCTTAAACACCTTCGCTAATTCTCCCCAGTTACTAGAGGTGAAAATAAAGACAAATATTTAACATTTTTATAATACATATATTAAAGGTCTGTATTTATCAACCTAAATTTTTAAAAATTCTAGTTAGTGGACTGGAATGGAAGGAAATCATTGTTACATTTTGGGGAGGAGGAAAAACCTTTAGTGTATTTATAGTTATTTTTAAAAATATGAGATTGAAAGATTTGTAATAAAATAAGGTCATAATAATAACTGAGAGTACCTGATTAGAAATTCACTGGGATCATTTTGTGGTGCTCACAATGAGCCTACCAAATACTTGCTGTTTGTTTACTATGTTCAGGACACTCTTCTGGGTTTTCTCTGGAGTCTGGAGTTTCGTAGGAATAACCTAATTGTCCTTTTGGCATTTACATTTTAGTTGAGAATAGACATGCAAAGATAACTAACAGTATAAAGCATTATATGTCGCATTATATGTCAAGTGCCACACAAGTGGTGGAGAAGGGGGAAAGACCAAGACCAACTATTTTTCTATCATTTCGGCCATAAGTGTTTGTGAGTGAGATTGCTTGTCAGTGATCCTAGTGGTAGCTGACAATTACAGACCTAAATTTCTGTATTTTCTTTTGCTGTGTTACAAGACAGTTGCTACCTTTTCTGAAACTGGTAGTTTTGTCATGTAATTGAGACTGCAAAAAAGATGTATTTGTGTCAACTAAAGATGAATGCAACCCTCAAGAAATATGTTTCTTAACTGTTCAGGCAAAAATGACAGTTTTTTGGTTGTTGCCGCATTTTGAAAACAGGAACTCAAGGAGCGCAAATATTTACTACTTAACTACTGTTAAAAAACTTTAACATTTATAATTATATAGATTTTTGCCTAATTTATTTATTCTGGAGTTGATTTTTATGCACTGCCTAATATTTTGAAAATAGTTTTATATATTTAACTATATATTGTGTATCTCTACATTGACAATTAGGATATTCTCAAATATCTTCACATTAAAGTACATCTAAGTGCCATATAGCACCTTTGCTTATGACTTGAAGTGAAAACATTGTTAGGACAATTTGTTGAGAACATATCCTGTGAAATTCTGCCGTCTTTTTCATCTGAAGCTGCCAATAGTACTCAAACTATTTCAACACTTTCGCCTCACTATTTTCTTCCTTGTGAAATATGTTCAATTTGATAAGGTTTGTGGATAAGTTTAAATGGCTTTTGAGGAAGAGTAACAGATCAATCATATATATTGAATATAAGAAAGATTAAAACTTACCTGATTATATTAGTTTCCAAGATTATCTCTTGGTTTATATCTGTCATATGATGATGCTAGTTCAAAGACTGCATTAAATACTTCTATAGTTATGACTTACAAAAGTGATGCTAGTAAGAATAGACAAGGCTACTCTCGCAGCCCTCTGTGTTGTTTGTGTTCCTGTTCCTTGCGTAGACTTTACTTTTCAATGGCTCTCAAGCTGGAACAAATGATGGTCCAGGTAGTGATGGTTAATAGAACTAGACTGTAATCTGCACTGTTCACTATAGCAGATACTAACTACTGCCCACTTTGGTAATTATTAGCTATGGTAACTGTTAGCTACATTGTATGATTATTAAATAGTTGAAGTGTGGTTTGGATGACTGAGGAATTAAAATGTTGATTAATTTAAAGTCACTGGCTACCATATTAGACTGTATGTTTCCAGAGTGTAGTCTAGTGCAAAAAGCATAAGCTTAAGCAATATATACAGCATTTTCTGTTTAGCCTTTTCTTTCATGGTCAGTCTGCAGCTCATGAGTTTGCTTTATACACACACCAGAGAAGCCTTTACACTGAATTTAAAGCATTAGAAGTTGATATTCATGAAAAACGATAAAGTAGCTGAATAAGGCCATCTTAAGTAATGTTCTTTTTGTTCAAGAGGCCTAATAATTTTAGTAACAGACTTTGGCATTGTTCAAAGTAGATTGACAGGGGACCAGCAGATGGTGTAATGGTTGTGTTGCTGGACTTGCACGTAGTCTACCGTGGTTTACATCCTGGACCCGGTGGCTTAAACCTCACAGTGCGTGTGTGTGTGTGTGTGTGCGTGTGTATACCTCACAGTGCGTGTGTGTGTGTGCGTGTGTGGGCCCAAAATCTCAAGAGGAGAAGGGGTTGTGGCTTGACCATCCTCTCTGAGAGGGTGATTTCTTGTTTTTTGTCTTTCTGTGTCTCTCTGGTGAGTGCATGTGCCCAATAGCAAAAAAATCTCTCTAAAAAAAAAAATAATAAATTGACAGAATGCAGAGCTGCATTGCATGTTATATAGAGAATGACATATAATAATTATACGTAAATATTTTCATGATTATTATAAGAACATTAAAAGTCATGGTATCCTAAGAAAGTATATAAAGTATAACATTAGTTAAGACTAATAGTTTCTTAATTAGGTAATTTAGATAGTTTTATAAATAGTAATTTAATGAATATAAAAAAAACCTAAGTACTGTTTTTATAAAATTTAGAATAGACTAATATCCTTTGAAAAGTTACTGGATCTCATATTATTTTTACAGTTTCTAAAATGATGGATTCTTAATGAGACTACAGTATGAGCTGGAAAAGGAAATAACAAAAGTTGTTAAGAGAACATAATTACTAACCAGTACTTTGTGTATAAAGGATGTGGCCTTCTGTCAGGAATATGAAGGCTTTATAAAGAAAGCACTATATTCTGCTCTGGCCCAGTGACCATTTGTATCTCACTTGGTTGAGTCAGTTATTCTAGTTTTTTTTTAGCATAGTTTGTGGTTTTCTTTTGATTCAAAATTGTCATCTTGGTTGCATTTGCTAAAGATTCTTTGGTTTTCAAGTGCTTAGAAACTTTGTTTTGTTGTGAATTTGAGATCCCAGAATATTTGAAAGAATAATTCTAGAATCGTTGACAAAGTTAGAAATTAAAGTGCAGATTTAACTGAGAAACAGGGTTTATCTATTGGAGACCAGTCTCAAGCCACTTATGTTGAATGTACTCATGGTTTTTCTTTGCTGCCTTTTTTCCCCTTATACTAGACTTTCATTGGTTTGAGGTGGAAAAAAGTCAGATTGACCAGTTTACATATATTATACATTAAACATTGACCATGTTTTTTTCTATGACTCAGACCCACAGCGATCAGTAGATTTAACTTGGCAGTGTGATTTATTTTTAAAAGTTTGTTGGTTCACCCTTAGGTTACAATGAAAAAATATCTTTATGAAATCAGTTTTCTATATTAACTTCATTCTAGCTATTGTTTTCTCTTTTCTTCCCTGTAATGTCTCCCCAATCCATGTTTTTTCGTAGCCTTCAAGATGGTCAGCAAGGCCAGCAGTCCACAGCCCAGGTCAAAGTCCAGTCCCGTCCCCCTTCCCAGGCTGCAGTGCTCAGTGCTAGTGCCTCCTTGCTGGTGAGAAATGGGAGTGTCCACTTAGAAGCCTCACATGACAATGCATCTGCTGTAGGCGGTGGCAGTTTGCACGATGAACTTGGTATGCAGGCCTTACGTCATCTTGGTGATTCAAAACTTTAATGCAGCAGATAATAATGGGTAACAGTTTTGTAGTTCTTGCAAATCTTTCTTGAGATAGCTTTATTTTGGAACTATGCGTAAGAGCACTTTTAATATAGGATTTGCCCTGTGCGTAAGGAATATTCAATTTTTGCTTTTTCCTTTTTAGTCTTACTCTGTATTTTCTTGAGAGCGTATCCCTTATTAATAGCTAGTTAAAACATTAGTAAATATTCATACTTTAGAGTTCTCTTAAAATGATTTGGGCAGTTCTGTTTTTCTGAGGTATTTTCATCATGTGGGAAAATGTTTATTTTTTTTTAAATGTTTTAACTAAATCTTTTATTCTTAAAATTCTTCATGCTATAGGAAAGGCAAAAATGCTTTCTGAAAGGTCTGTCACTATAGAATCTTTAAGGTATATTTTACAGTATGTCCTCTAGTAGGATTTTTTATCATTCTAAATGTAGTACTCCTGAGGACACTATGGCTCTGTGCTACTATGAGATAATAACTTTATATGAAGTTATTTCTGTTTTATATCAATAGGTTTATAAATATACATATAAATGGGACCAGTAGTTGGCGTAATGGCTATGTTGCTGGACTCTCATGTAGTCAACCATGGTTCGAGTCCCGGATCCCGTGGCTTAAATTCATGCTAGGCACGTGGGCATGTGTGCCCAAGATCCCGAGAGGAGAATGGAGGAGAAAGGATTGCGGTGTGGCCATCCTCGTTTTCTGTCTCTCTGTCTCTCTCTGTCTTTCTGGTGAGCACATGTGCCCTATAGCAAAAACCTCTCAAAAAAAAAAAAGAAAAAAAAATATATATACAAAGTTATAAAATAGTTCTTAGAGATGTGATATATTTAAAAAACCTTAGTAATCCACTCAAATATCTGCTTTATGCATCATTTAAAGATAATAGATTACATAGGTTTTTATTATTATTACTATTTTTAAATTTGCCATAGGGCATGTGTGCTCACCAAAGAGAGACAGAGAGAGAGAGGGAAAAAAACACCCCTTAGTGGAGTGTGGTCATGCCACAATCCCTTCTCTTCCATTTTACTGTCCTCTTGGGATTTGGGGCATGCACACATACACACCTGGTGTGGTTTTTCAAGGCACTGGACTGGGATTTGAACCACTTGGTCAGCCGTGTGGGATCTGGCCCCTTAACTACTAGGCAGTAGGGCTGACACTATTTTAGTTTTTGCTATAGGGAGCATGCCCTTTCCGTTCCAGGCTGCTGAGTCTTGGATTGGAACCATACACTTGGCAATGTGGGATCTGGCCACCTTAACCACCATACCATCTGGCTGGCCCATGACACTTTTATTTCTTTTTATAGTCCAATTTTCTTGTGCCCAGAATGCAGATTAATAAATTTAAGTAAATATATTTAAGTAAATTTATTGAAGAAAATCTTGCTTTTAAGAAATACTCATTTTTAAATCACTCATTGTGATTTTGTTTATTCCTGTTACAACTGGTTTTAATTTAGAAAGATGGTGATCCAGGTGATGTTTTAACTAAAAGAGACATGGTTTAAGTTGTCCAAATTAGGTTTACTAAAACTTTATATGTTATCTATTCATTGCCTCTTTTTCCATCTTGCAGAAATCTTTGGTTTCAGAGTTATTCATAAATACGTAGATATGCATATTGATGAAAATAGCTATTAAACAAATCTTACAGAAACTTTAAAATGGTCATATAATATATAAATTTATTACATAGTAATATGTGGTGACACTTATAAAATGAGAATACAATAAAATAACTTTTACTTTAGAATATTTTTACTTTTGAGTTGGTAATTTGGAGAGGCAAGATATCTGTAAGGAGGTTACTTTAGAGAGTAAGGTAGGCTTGAATTTGGCTACTTGTTGTAATTGCAAGCCATAATTGTTTAGTTGCAAATATATTCAGTTGAGTGTTAATATCTTTATATTGATGTTTCTCTCCATTTAACTAAGTTCCTATGGATAAAGGATTATGTGAACCTATGAATATAAAACTACAGTTATATTCATTGTCTATTGGCTTTGTGATAGTAGATTACCAGCTTAAAATAGAAAGCTTTATTTTGATCCACATTGGATTTATAGAATTTTATCAGAACAAATGTTAAATGAAATCATAGATGATTTTCCTTTATTAATTTGATCAAAAATTTTGCTATGCAAGCTTTAGTTCTAAAACACTGCAAAGCCATATGCAGGTTATTGAAAATAATCTACGTATGAACTGTCTTACCAGTTCTAAAGATCAAAACCCTCTTTGGAAGTGACTTTAACATCTGCTGATGGATATTCAGAATATTCTCTTGAAATTTGGGTTTTGTATTTTATGTTAGTTGCCTTTGATAAGTTCTTGGACTCTGATAGCTGAATGCTATCAGATTAAATGCTTATTAATAATTAATACAAAAAAGTAGTCAGCCTTATTAACCACCATGCCACTGGCTGACCTGCAACCAATGGAGAGTGTATACCTCTTCCGTAGTACCAAAAGTTGGCCACAAAAGATTCTGAAAATGAACTGCAACTAAACTTTAAGGAATTGGTAGGAATAGGTACGGAAACTGGAACATTTTTTGTTGTATGGCTTAATTTTCTACATGATTTTAACTAACAGTACTAAGATACTTTTGTGTGAATAAATTGAGTGCTGTATACTCAAATATGTTTGTCAGTTGTTGATAGTCACCAAAATACGGTATCTTTACAAAGAATTGCTTCTTTACAAATTTAGCTGCTTTTGAAAGATTTTAACCATACAAATTGTCACATGTGAAAATATATACTTTTCCATAATACATTTATATAAAATGATTATGTACACATAATTCAAAAAGTTTGTGGAAAATTGAATTTGAAGTGTAAGTTTTTTTTATACAAAATAAATTTTAATCCATGCATAGTTTTTTTGTAATATTTATTTCCCATGATCTTTTTAAGTTTTTTTTTTTTTTTTTTTTAAGAGAGATTTTTGCTATAGGGCACATGTGCTTGCCAGAGAGAAAGAGACAGACAGAAAGTGAGAAATCGTCCCCCCAGGGGGGATGGCCGTGCTGCAATCCCTTTTCCTCCATTCTCCTCTTAGAATTTTGGGCATGCATCAGCATGAGTTTTAAGCTGCTGGGTCTGGGACTTGAGACATGGTTGACTACGTGGGAGTCCAGTGATGTAACCATTATGCCATCTGCTGGTCCCTGCCATGATCTTTTTGTAAGCCCCCTTATACACATTCATATATAAACACACACACACTCTCTAAATACACACACAGCCACACACACACTTGTAATATGTATGACTGCTCACAGTGTATTTGTACGTATGCACACGTATGTAATAATTGTATATAAGACACTGAGGAATGCCCTTGTGGATGAAAGGAAACTCACAGTCAGGCATTAATTCCAGGACTAGATGTTTCCTCATATTGTTTTTTTTTACATTTTTATTCTGTGATAGTATAATTGATAACCAGACCCATTTTTTTTTCATATTTATTCAATTTAATTTGTTTTTAATTTGATCAGAGAGCAAGCAATCAGGTATGGGACTTAAACTGTGATCGGCCATGTGGGAGTTTAGCACCTTTAGTCATCATGCCACCTGCCAGCCCCACCACATCCATTTCTTTTACGAAACCCTGAGCATCCTTATTTCTCTGTTGCATTTTTCTAAAGAGAATTAATTAATTAAAATTTGACCAGAGAGAGGGAAAGTAAGCCACTAAGTCCAGGACTTGAACCACCATCAGCTATGTGGGAGTCCAGCGCCTTAACCACCATGCGACCTGCTGGCCCCTCTCTGTTCCATTTTAAAAAGCATTTTAAGGTTACTAAGTAACATTAAACATTATGGAAAATTCATTGACGATAGCTCTTTAAGGATGATTTTTAGTAATTTCTTTAATGGGAATATGCATTTTCATTGTATTTAGCAGACTTAATTGCTAATTGTAATTAATTTTAGAAACTAGATTATAAATGGTATAATTTAAAAGGCAAAACATGAATCATATTCTTTTTTATTTATACACTTCATTTCTCTATAAACCTAGTCCAAAAAAGATTCAAATGACAAAAGTTATGGATAACTTTTGAAGTTAACACCTTTGAAAAGAAAAATTTTTATCAGAATTAAATATTTGTTTTCATTGTGTAAAATGTTGGTCTTTATTTCAGAGATTACATCTTAAAGGTTTATTTCTTTTTTTTTTTTTTTTTTTTTGAGAGAGAGAGATTTTTGCTATAGGGTACATGTGCTTGCTGGAGAGACAGACTGAAAGTGAGAAATCACCCACCAGGGGGATAGCCACACCACAATCCCTTCTCCTCCATTCTCCTGTTGGGATTTTTATACACACGTGCCCGGTGTGACTTTCAAGCTGCTAGGTTCAGGACTTGAACTGTGATTAATCATGTGGGAGTCCAGTGATGTAATCACTACACCATCTGGTGGTCCCGAAAGTTAATTAATTTCTTTCTGATCATCATTGGACTTACTGAGTTGTCAGAAAAGTCATGAAGTATTTTCTTATGCAAAAATGCATCATGACTTTTCCAATGACTCAGTATCTGCAGTTGATTTTATACCATGTTTTGAATTAATCTGCAAAAATGCAAATAGAAAAAATCTGTCACTTAGTACCTAGATTGGGTCATACAAAAGACTGAATTCAGGTGGTCTTAAAGTTTTAGATCTCCAAAGCCTTTCTTCTTCTTAGTTTTCATTTCAAATTCAACTTTATCTTCTAAATTAAGACTAAGAAATTGACACAATGATAAAACATGCCATTATGGTTGATATACTTTTGATAAGTAATATAACATCTCAAAGGGAATATTCTTTTTTTTTTTGGAGAGCTCTTTGCTATAGGGTGCATGCACTCGCCAGAAAGAGAGAGAGACAGAAAGCGAGAAATCCCCCCCCCCGTGGGGGGATGGCCATGCCACAATCC